GGCCGAAAGTAAAGGAGAGCAAAGGGCTGCAATGCTGTGGTCCTGAGGCGATTACGCCCCAGTACCGTACTCCAACTTTGCTGAAGGTGGAGCAATTCTATTGCCGGCCTACATTGTTTTAGAAGTTTTTTTCTCGATTGTTATTATAATGAGCCTACTGTTCCTTTTAAAAAGACTCATAAATTACGTTCTTTAACTCATTCCTGAGCGCTGTCAATCTTTGCTTCGGATTCTCTTTCTCGCAGAAGTTTTTTTTGAGCTGGAAGCTACTTCTTTGTGACTGGATAATTTATTTTCATTTATGAATATTAAGGGTCAACCATGCCTCGAATTAAGACAGTACATTCGAAGGTTACAAAATCTCCCCGTCGTCCTTTCGAGAAGGAACGTCTAGACCAGGTAAACGGCTTTCTTTGTTTTAAGCAATTCCCTTGTTTGGTTACTTTTATTCAGATTGGTTTGTTAAGCTTATTTTTCATTTACTTTTACGGAATCTCTTCGAATTTCGCACTCGTTTCTTGGTTTGAATGTGACCAGTTTTTATTCACTGTACTCAAATTCGTGGTATAAGAATGATGAGTTGTGTTTTGGAATTGTAGTGGTTGAGGGTGAAGGGCTTTGTTCGTAACTATTCATGGTCACGGTTAGATTTCAAGTTTTCGGTAGTCAGCAATGTGACCAGGAGTAGTTTCGGATGGGCAAGACTTTCGTTGTGGTTGAATTTTGAGGAAATTCTGACGGCTGACCCTACCGAATGGCGTTAAACATTGCAAGAAATGAGCCGGACTTTCGCGACTTTTTTGTGATTCCCACTACGGCACATATTTGTACCAAAACTTTCCTGAATTGACTGGTACGGAAAAGACAGCTTTTACTTTGGCTTTTTTGTTTCAAATGTGTGCGTTAAGTAGAGAACGGTCAAGTTTGGAGTGTGATGTGGTATTCTGGGACTGTGCGATTTTCCATTTCGTTTGTCTGATTGGAAAATTGTGAAATATGCTCGTTTTCTTGCATCTCTCTTTAGTGGGTTAGATTGACTGCTGCACATTTCACTACGCTGACAGCTGAAATAAACAACTGTGAATATAGATTCATCTGACGAGTTCTCTTGATTTACTTCCTTTGACTGATGGCATTCTCGAATAATTTCGGATTTTTTTTCTTACATGTTCTTCACATTGACTCGTGCTAGATTCTTTCGTGGCGGTAAGGGGACATTTTCTTATTCACATCAACCATGCCGAGCTTTTTTCAACCCGTCCTGGATACTTGCAAAAAGCTCGAACTCGCATTGTGTTAGTAAATTTGCTTCCTGTGATATTATGCTCTGAAAGAAGGCATGTCGAACTAGTAAGGATGGGGGAAAGGTTTGAAGAACTGATTTGCATCATTGTTTGTACAGTATGGTTCCATCTTGGAGCTCCTTTCCGTTAAGTTAGGCGGAAACCAGCATCCTACAATTTCACCACTATTTAGCACTTGAACGTCCGACTGAAAAAGAAGAGTATGAAAAGGGGTTAAATGAAGAATCGTACCATTTCTTACCATTGTACAGTTTCACTGAGGTTTTTTTTTGAAAAACGCGACAATTGACAGTAATTTACGAAGTGTCTCGGCCCACCTTCTTTTCATCTAATTGGCATTCCATTCTGAGGGTGCGTTTATACTTTGCGGCAGCGTTTTGAGCGTTTTTAATACTTCGAACGACTAGGAAAGTAGGGTATTGATCCTGCGCCAGTGTCTTCAGCGATAATCGAAACATTATACCATCTCAGTCGCCCGAAACGCTGTCGAACGCTCAGAACGCTGCCGCTAGGTATGAACACACTCCCAAAGATTCTTATTTGTATTGCTACCCCAAGTAGTACGGTTTGCTCCAAGAATTCCATTCTTTTGTTCTGAATAGGCACTGATCTGCCGTTTTTATTGTATTATAATTATTTCTACTTGTTAAAAAGCTCGTAGCTCCGCTGAAAAGTGATGTTTAGGAGCTGAAACTCATTGGAGAGTTCGGCCTCAAGAACAAGCGAGAGGTATGGCGGGTCAAGTACACCTTGGCTAAAGTCCGTAAGGCTGCTCGTGAATTGCTCACCCTGGAAGAGAAGGATCCCAAAAGACTGTTCGAAGGAAACGCTCTTCTGCGCCGTCTTGTGCGCATTGGTGTGCTCCCAGAAGACCGTATGAAGCTCGATTACATCCTTGGTCTACGAGTTGAGGATTTCCTCGAGAGACGCCTGCAGACTCAGGTTTTCAAGCTTGGATTGGCGAAGTCGATTCACCATGCTCGTGTCCTTATCAGACACAGTCATATCCGGTTAGCTTATAATTTGTTTTTCTGCTTACATACCTTTACCGTCAATATCGTTTGCGGCGCAGTCCGGTGATGAGGGGGGGGGAGGATATTTTGCACTTTCGCTGCTTCTCTAATTCCGTTTTACATACTTCATCCTGGTGAAACCTGTGAATTCTTGTAAGGCTGAAGTGAGCTCTTCGAACCACCATGGTGGATGGTATTTGTGTGGTATGCCACTGCTTACATGTGTTGAGACGTGGTCTCTACAAACTTTGACTTTTACCATTTCGTGGTTCACAAGTTTTCGCAGGTCTCCACTTGATGGTTTATGGTCAATAGGAAGTAGCAAAAATACAGAATGCCCCCTTCATCCCCACGTACTGCGCCTCATGTGCATGTAAATTGCTCAGATTGGTTTTTCGTCTTTTTTTAGTTGGTCGATCTTATTTATTTTCTTATTTTCAACATGGAAACTTCAAAACCCTTTTGTTTTGCTAACTGCGTGTAAAGGGTGCAGAGTAAATTAATGCGAAGCGTTGTCCTTCTGAAATCGAACAGAGGACTTCGGGGTTGCTTAGATGCTTGTCTGGTTAGCGATATTTCATGTGGTGTCGTTTTTTTTGGATTTCCTAGGACCTTGTTTTCTTTCCAGTTATGAAGAATGTTTTTGACGATTCAGCTGTCCCAATTGATAGTACATGGCATCTCAAATTCCTCCTCCGAAATCCGGTTTTTTTTGTCGTGGTTGCGACTCATTCGGGCAATAGGCTTCAGGCTGCGTTCATACCGTGCGAGCTAGTCGTCAACGTCGACGTAACCGACGAAAGCGACGTAACCGACGTTTTCGACGACTAGTTCGCGAAGATTATATACGTATCGATCCGACGTAACGGACGAAACCGACGTAAGCGACGTAAGGCCGCGTTCATACATGATGCGAAATGCGGAATATGCAGAACTGCGGAATTTGCAGAAAGGAAATACGTATCGATCTGAAAACTGCATTTCTTCAAATTCCGCGGAATTTGCCGACATGCAGAAATGACGGACAAAGAAGCGATAGGGATCGATCGGTCCATCGGCATTTCTGCAAATTCCGCACTTCTGCATATTCCACGGTTTTTGAAATCGATAGACATATTTTCTTTTTCTGCAAGTTCCGCGGTTCTGCAGATTCCACACGTCTGCAAATTCCGCAGTTCTGCACATTCCGTGGTTCGGCATTTCTGCATCATGTATGAACGCGGCCTAACCGACGTTTTCGACGTCAGTCGATACGTATCTAATCTTCTGTCGTCGGTTACGTCGGTTACGCAGCTTTCGTCACTTACGCAGCTTTCGTCGGTTACGTCGCTTACGTCGGTTTCGTCCGTTACGTCGGATCGATACGTATATAATCTTCGCGAACTAGTCGTCGAAAACGTCGGTTACGTCGCTTTCGTCGGTTACGTCGACGTTGACGACGCCGTCGCACGGTATGAACGCAGCCTTAGTGGCATGAGGGTTTCTTCAAAACGTATTTTACGTTTGCAAGCCTCACTAGGGAAGGTCACTAGGTCGAAGTGGTCATTTTTAAGGAGACGTAGCCCACGGGACGTGGTTCTGGACCTGCTCTCACACCTGCCTTCTTGCAGAACGATTCTCTGAACGGAGTTATGGAGCTTTTTCCTCCGCGTTTACCACGCAACAGGTCATGGGATCGGATCCCTGCTGAGCTTAACTTTTTTGCTTCTTCGCGAACGTGGCAAAAAGTGGTTTTGGCGTCACTACTACTTCAGCGCTCACCTAGACTTACCTGAAGAAAAGTTTGCGTGCAGCTATTGCTGCGCTTCTGCGCTTTGTAATCTCGATTTTTTGGGTGCACAGGTGCCCGTCATGCGCGATTCAGGCGTTTTGGCACTAATTGATGTCATATTCGTGTTCAGCGGGTCAAACTACCTTTAGGCACAGGCTTCTAGCATTTGACCTCACTTCGAAAAGTGAAGCACCCATGGGGTGCAGTTCATTTCATGTCCACACCTATTCAGCTACAGATACATTCTCCTATGGAAAGCGTCACCTTGCCATTTTTACGCTTTCCTTCTCTTACTGCTCCAGTTTTCCTGATGTCTCAAAGCAAATCCCGTCCGAAGACAAGCAGTCGATATGAGACTATCCCTAGAACTGCTAGTGACCACCATTCGATCAACTGCTGCCGCAGAAGTTAGGTCGAAACCTTACATCTGGCTAGAAACCTGTCTCCCAAGGTAATTTTGCTCCTGAACACGAATATGGCACCCATTTGGCATTTGAGTGTTTTCTAGACCCAAAAGAGACATTCCTCACGAAAAGCAAAAAACTGCCTTTCTCAAATCTCGAACCTTCGTGGTACGCCTATAAAGCAAGTCTGTTACTACCAGACCATGCTGTATTGTTTGGAATTTGCGTTTCGCGGCTACTCAAGCAAATTGGCTGGCAATCGCGCTCGACTCCGTGTCCCTTCATTCAACAAACATTCATGGTTCCGTTCAAAGGGTCATTCTGCAAATTTCGAAGAGATTTGAAATCAGCGTTCAAAAACAGCCCCGCGATATACACCTCGTTAAATGGCCACTTCGACTTGGCGACTATCCCTAGTTAGCTAAAGGATTTATCAAGGAATTTTATGCAGTAATAAACTACCCATATGGGAAAACAAAGAAACCGTCGGAAACTCTAATTAAGGCCTCTGTGATTCCAGGCATTGTATTAGCATCTGTTGAAGAGAATGTTCTTAGGATGAGTTTGCGTTCCTAAAATCATAACGGCTAATCTGCTCCTACCCTGTGATGCTAATTAGATCATTGGGATCTCTGATATTCCCTGTGTCGTGCTGTATTATTGACTCAATTGCAACGCTTCATTACGACGACGACACTTGCAATGTAGTTCTCATTGGCTTCGTGTAAGTTATGGGAAGCTTGCAACCCACCCACTGCCCGCTTCTGAGCCGACAGAAAAACGCTTTGTTGCTGGTTGCAAATCCAGATTGGTTACGGATAGCATTTTGCTTTTCTGCCAATGACGAAAAGTAGCTCTGAAGGCAGTTGCGAATTCTACTCATTTACGATACCATTTGATAGGAAAGTGCTCGGATCTACATAGCTTTTTGTGTGGGAAGTCCCTCGGAATGGATGAATAGTTATGTTGCGACCTCCTCCTAAATTACCCATGAAATTGTCGCCAAAACCTTACAAAATTTGTCCGTAGAGCGAGGGAGGAGGTGGAGGTGGATAGCTTCGATTACCATTGAGAAACTGTAGCTATGCTGCACTGTAATTTCTTGGTAGGAGTACACCGTGCGTGAAACGGGAAAATTAACAATAGGAAGGGAATCCAGATGCCAAAACGAAACCGCTTCTCAAGTGACCAGTGATAGCCCCCCGGTTTTGCTAGACGATTGTGTCACTGTTTTGTGGAAGCAAAGAGAAAAGCGGTTCATTATTGCAGCTTTATCACTCGGTTTTGTAGTAACTTCAGGAGTGGATATGAATACCTATCGACTTTGAATTTTGGCAAACCGCTCAGGCAAATCCGGCCGCATCGCGAAAGAGTTACATATATCCCTCTGATGAACTGGCGATCGCACACGCACGTCGTTCTCCCATTTTGTTGACGCTTTGTAGGGTGTAGAGTGTTACCTTCGACTTGAGGCAAGCGCTGCCAGAAGAGGCGCTACAGGCGGGATGTCGTGCGAAGCATTCGTAGCAGGAGGAGCAGAGCAAGTTTTGCCGGGATATTTTGGCCTGGCGAAGGTGCTACGCACCACATCGCAAGATAAGATATACTTGAGACTCTCTGTCTTTTGAGAGTTTTTGGAATAAATTTTTGGAGTTTCACATTGTTATTACACATTCAGATAAGAAATGACTCCGGGACAGCACCATACTCCGATATCCCGATGTGTGAGATGAAACGGGGTGGCATCTACGTTAAAGGAAAACCCCGTGGGTGCATATTGTGACTAGTGGCTTCAGTTACAACATATAGTAGCAAAATGACTCTCCCGGGGACAAGAAGCGAAAAGAATCGTGGCGAACACCCTAAATAAAGACCTGGCTGCCGCTCTATTCGAGTTCTTCGACCGTGCTAGTTTTATGACAGAAAAGGGAGATGCTTCGCTTCGGTTCACTAGCCGCACTACTAATTAATTCCTTGTGCAGTAGTCTGGCCCTCGGTCCCTAATATTATCCCACCATTGAAGTAAAAAGTGAGCTCGTGATAGGAAAGTCTTTGAGTTTACGGGCGGGGTTACAAGATAGGTGTCAGAACTGCCTCTTAAAGGTCCGCAGGCAGCGCCTTCAGTACTTGCCGTAGAGCTGCAAAAGTGGAATAATAGTGGAGACCAAGGGCCAGACTACTTGCGCAAGGAATGACGCCTGTGAG